ATCCAGTGGAACGCTTAAATAGATCTGTAAGGATTAATTTTGCAATGACTTTTTTAATTTACAAGAATTTTAGTTGGCGGAGTGGGTACCTATTAAGATTTTTTTCTTGATATTCGATTAATTAGAATATAAATGTTCGTGGTATTACATAATTTGACAATAAAGTCATATCTGTCATTCATTTATAATATGTATATACGTGTAATAAATTGTTATTGTTTGTTACTGAATTGTTATTATACGACTTTGTTTTTTTGTTATCGCTTGATGTTTATTCCATTTGTAATATTTATGTTAATAGATCTATATCAAAAGAAATAATACAAATAAAAATGAACAGTGGAGTTTCTTGTCAGTTCTTTTCTGCAGAATATACTTACTGAACTGAACGGTAGAGTTTTAAATTTATACATACATAAGTGATCAACTTTCCTATGTGAATAAATGCTTTTAATTTCTGGATTATATTTCTCGTTATTTTCTACATTGGTAATAAACGTCTCTGTGAATCTAAAATTAAGCAGAAATCAATACATATAGTATTGTTTTCTGCTTAATTTTCGATTTAGTATTTGTTCCGAATAACTCTTAGAACAACATTAAGATAAAGTAGGTATTTCATCTACATTGACGTGCGTTATGTGGCAAGTTTTGCAATTACTCTGTTATTAGGTAAGTCAGAATATCTACTATTTCAGATTCCATTATAGTTGTATACCTACAGCTAATGAAATTACTTTCTTGTCTTTATTGAAGCATATACTTCAGTACCAATGTACCTATATTACGCAGTATCTATCTATATGTACATATAATATAACCTAATCTACTCTATATCTTTACCTATCAACTCATGCAAGGCCTAGGCGGATCGCTATTATTATATATTATGCAATACAATGCAAAAAGGTTAAAAATTTTGTGTGGAATTTTACTCAAAAAACAAAACACTGATTTTCAGCTATGACCAAATACTACAATATATATTTTTGTTTTACTATTTATTGTAAAAGGCGATTTCTTACAGTTTGTGTCTATTTTGTTTTATTTTATATGAAAGATTTTATTTAATAGCTATGTCCGTGTATTCGTCCAGATTACTAAAATATTAAACAGCCTGTATCGTTATCTGGTATGGAGACCGTTACAGGCTGTTTAATATTGTTTCTTTTATTTATTTCAAATGTTTAGTCATACTCAGAACTATTAAAAGTATCATAATATAACAAGCAAACAAACTCTCATATCATAATTATTATACTAGTAAGGAAAAAGCCTGTAGAATAAACCATGGCGATACTCATGAATCAAGTAAAAGTTCTTGGTACCGCTTTACTTAGCAGATTACCAAATTTCCACTTTGGTCCACGTCAGCGAGAATGTAAATGGGCGGAAAGACGAAAAAGGGTTTACGCGAGCGGACCGCATTTTGGTAGATCATAGGCGTTTCTTATAAATATCTTATTATACTTAATACAGATTATGTTGGGGTAGGTGGTACGGAACATGACGTACGTAGGAGGGAACTGACGATAGGACGTGTAATAAGAAAAATGAAAGAAGAAAATATACAGCGCCCACCCAGTATTTTTGAATAAGGTCATGATGAAAATTTATATAGGTACCTATTACTAATAACATTATATTTGCGGTCTTTATTTATATTTACGAATAAAAATATATATAGATTATATTTTTATTACATAAAAAAGAACTTGCTGTTGTTGTTGTTGGTTATTGGTAAATATGTTATCTAATAATGTTATTTATTTATTTTTATAAATACATCTGAGAATGATGTTTCGAATATTCCTATATAAATAATAAAAACATTTTAATAAAGACGGTGGAACAAAGTTATAATATTTTAAATAATATTAAGAGTATATAATCGACTTAATGAAGTTTATTATTTTTGTTATGTAGGTGCCCAGTCCAAGTTGGCAATGGGCTTTTTTTTAATGGGCGATAATGGAATTGTAACCCCGCCTGTGTAAACGGTGTACGCTGGCGGGGCACCAGTGAAGGTTGATAGGCGGATAATAAAAAAGTAGGCCAGTTAGCCCATTGTGATGAATACATCTGGAATTTAGCACAATGGTTTCCAGGGGGAACCGCGTGGAGGTCGACCTGATAGGGTATATTGCTAGCAATAGGACTGGTAGCCCGCATTACTAACAATCCCTTCCCAGGCAATGGGCTGGTCACATAGCTCGAAGAGCCCGCAACTGATAGGAAAGAAAAGGTCTTAAAAGGCAACTGCGTATGGGATAACACAGTCTAGGACAACCCCCCATTAGATGGAGTGACGACCTCAAATATATTGCAGGAAGTCAGTGGATACAAATGCTTTAGGATCGTTCCTTATGGCAGTCTATGGGGAAGGCCTACGTTCAGCAAGGAGAGATAATGGCTGATATGATGACGTTGATGGTTATTTGTGTTTTGATTACTTGATGAAACATCTTTATATCGATTTATACAATATTATTTCATATTTCTAATTTTTTTGTGTACCTTATGATACATCAAAAATGTTATGAACTCAATAATATAATTAACAATAAAGTTTAATAATATAAAAATTAAAAACAATATATTATTGAGGTTTACTTTATAAAACCAATTGAAAATAGCTTAATTGTACGGTTATTATTGGTTTTTTTATTATTCAATGAATTAAAAAAAATTAATAAAGTCATACATTTTTAAACATTTCAAAGCTGCGTAATAAAAATAGATTTTTTTTTTTTTTTACAACACAGGGGGCTAACGAGCATGCGTCTCACCTGATGGTAAGTGACATATCATTTTTAAAATTATACAAGGTTATGTTGTCGTATCGGTTCGTACTGCTGCTGGATAAAAAATGGTTGTGCGTGGAAGATAAAAACGCACGGTATCTATATTAAATTATCCTTTGGACCGTTTATCTAATAATTCAAATGCAACCGCTTGCCTAGTTATCGTTCATTTGTCTTAAATCTTAAAATTTTACATTTTAATTTTATTACACATTAATCACGAAGATTTATAACGCTAACTTACTCAAATGGATAAAAAAACATCAAATTAATTTCTTTAGTTTCAAAGTAAACTACAAGTTTCCCAAACTTACTTGCTGCGTAGCCCATTTACGTCTAGGCAGGAAATAAGTTTGGGGACTTAAGATAAACGATTAAAGCTCTACACAGCATGGGAATTGTATATGTACCGTTATAGACTGTGAAGCTAATAATAATTTATCTATGCCTTTTTTATTCATTGCATTTTTCCTAAATTATATTATGGCATACAAGCTGACAGCCCACCTGATTGAATGTGGTATCCGTCGCCGATATACTATTGGATTATATATATATTATATATCGTTCAAGATCCATCTGCTGCTTTCCATCATCTCTCTGTCAGTAATCTTACTGATACAATAACATTGTAACTAGACGATGTCTGTACATTAGATATATTTAAGAAAAAATTATATGAGGAACCTCATTAAGAGCAATAGAAGTCAATACAATATGTTATGGACATTTTATCTATCTATCTATATATTTATTCTTGCGTCACACAAAAACTGGTCCAGCAAATTGAATGCAATTTTTATAGTTCTATATCTGAAGATCAAATTTAAAAATTAGTGTTAGTGCAGTTTCATTATGTGATCTATTTTATTGATTTTTCTACTTCTGAAATCCACGCGTACGAAGTAGCGAGCTTAAAGCTAATCAATCTATATTCTATCTTATGAAATATAATCCTTTGTATCGTATTGTATCTACCTTCATATGTATTTATACTCAGAAACTACTATTTACACAATAGGACGAAAGCTAAAAAAAAATATTTTGATAGCATCCTATGCCCACTGCATCTGAATGATTAACGTCGTTCTATTCCGTATGCAACGTGTATGATGCTCATTTGTTCGTTTGTGTATACACAGAGTACCTATATTGTATACATTCTCATACGCATTCGTGCCGTGTCTCGACCTTGCTAGATTTACTAGAATGTAAGCTGCTTGCAGATTCGGCAACAGCGCGTGCCATGCACGGAGGGTCTTGCCAAAAATATTTTTCCGTCCGCTTCGGTCATGGCACGTTACTGACGGTTTAATGGGCATTGACTGATAGTAATTCTTAGATAGTTTTTTTTGCATATGTCAGTACGGTTACAGCCGTATGATATGTTGCAGTGGGCGGAGTCCTTTAACATTGTGAAGTTTGGATGTACGGGGTGGTTTCGGGGGGATGGGTGGTACGGTTCAGGCGCTGTCATGTGGACGGGCTGCTCACGGCCCATGGAACACAATTCGTTTGATCTCACCGCTTGCTCGCTAAGCGCTATTTATGTCCCGACAAGGACACCTGTCGATGATGACGACCGTTGTGAGTGACGATATTAGACCCATGGCATTGACATGTGGCGTTCAAGACAACGAAAAGTTTACCAATTAAAGTTTTATAGAACAATCCTAAAATACTTTATGCAGAGTTTTATGGGAATCGAGTATTTGACATATGTAACAATATAAAATACATATTGCATTAAAAAGATTTCTATAAACTATATAGTAGCTAAACTTATGATGTAGATTAACACAAAAAAAAAATCATAATATATCTAAACTTAAATCTAAATGCAACAAAAAACTATGCGTGTCAAAGTGATTTTTTATCACATTCACACATGCTTCATTGTTAAGTCCATGTTTTGTTTATGCAGTGACAAAGTTGAAATATTATAAGAATTTTTAAAAATTGTTTTAAAATAATTAATGATGTGAAATTGGTTTGGCGCCCACTCGTATTTTTTTTTTTTGATAATGTTATCTTAATTAACCTAAAGGTTGCGTTTGATCTATTCACACTTCAAAGTAATGCAGTAATTTCCCGTAAAGCCGTATGTAATGAGTTTCGAATCATTACAATAATTGATCAGAAGCCAATTTTAGAGCTTAATTAAGTTTATTAATATAAAATTTTGTATTGTTTCAGATCACGGCATAGTATATCTGCATCCAGAAAAAAATATGCCAACAAAACATGTGTCCGAAAGTGGAATTCAAAAACACAATGCCTGCCAAGAACGTAATCTCAAAATGGCTGCGGGCGAAACAAGGAAAACATAAACACTCAGCATGGGGCTAGCGAGTACATAGCCAGTGAAAAAATATGAACGCGTCCGATCCTGATATACTGGTGGCAAAAGGCCAACTAGATATATCATACAGAGGACCAGAATATATTTTGGATAGCTCGGGCGCTACATACAATACCGTGCTAGAATTTAACATCACCTTCGATAACAGTTCAGTATATAACGCGACAGAAGAATCACTCGATCTGTGGAACGATTACATCAAACTCCTCCAAGACCGCGCATTGCTGGTCACTTTCCTGCTTCTTTTTTCCATGACGACTGTTTTTGGAAACATGCTTGTCATACTCGCTGTGATACGTGAACGTTACCTACATACGTCAACAAACTATTTTGTTACGTCACTTGCAGTAGCTGACTGCCTAGTCGGATTAGTGGTCATGCCATTCTCAGCACTGTACGAGGTATTAGAACATACATGGTTCTTTGGCGTAGACTGGTGCGATGTGTGGCGATCCTTAGACGTGCTATTCAGTACTGCCTCCATACTAAATCTGTGTGTGATCTCACTCGACCGGTACTGGGCAATCACGGACCCTATTACATATCCGATGCGAATGAGCGGACGGAAAGCCGCTTTCCTTATTGCCGCTGTATGGGTGTGTTCCGGTGCTATATCCTTTCCCGCTATCGCGTGGTGGCGAGCCGTACGATTAGAAGAAGTACCAGATTATAAGTGTCCCTTTACGGAAAACCTTGAGTATATAATATTTTCATCAACAATATCGTTTTATTTGCCTCTTTTTGTCATGGTGTTCACGTATTATCGTATATATCGTGCAGCGACTATACAGACGCGGTCTTTAAAGATCGGTACTAAACAAGTGATGAGGCCAAGTGGTGAGTTAGAGTTGACCTTGCGTATACATAGAGGGGGGACAGTGCGTCAGCGTAGTGACGCGTGTCACGGTGTTTGTACTCCCGAAGAAGCCGACCAGGAGCCGCTGACCGCCCTGCAAAACAATGGGCTGTCACGTTCATCCACGCGGTTAACCAATGTGACTCACGGCAAACACTTGCCAAAAAACTTTTCGTTATCTCGTAAGCTGGCTAAGTTTGCTAAAGAAAAGAAAGCAGCCAAGACTCTCGGTATAGTGATGGGTGTGTTTATAGTGTGTTGGTTACCATTCTTCGTGGTGAACTTGCTGTCAGGTATCTGTTCGGCATGCATAGCGCATGTGGAAATTGTCAACATGGTGGTCACGTGGCTCGGCTGGGTGAACTCATCAATGAACCCTGTCATTTACGCCTGCTGGAGCAGAGATTTTAGAAGGTACGTATGAATTAGTTTTTATTTTCTAGTTATCAGTATTATATTTCTGTATTTACTATAAACTACAAACCATAATATGGACTCAATTAAATAATTTGGTCAAGTAAGAGTCGGACTCGCGCAATGAGGGTTCCGTACAAAATCATTATGTTTCAATATATTTTTGTGATATAACTAGTAATTAACAATTTTCGGATTATTTCCTTTACTTGTACTATATGACATTGCTTCTTGCCAAATTTAATGATTCTAGATCAATAGGAAGTACACTATAGGTTCTGATTCCCTTTGCGAATGTCAAAATATGTAACATAAATGGAACATAAACGGCCGTGTCTTTTCATTGTATCAATTTAGAAACTTGATTTTTTCACTACTTTAAGAGAGTTTAGACTTGAGTATATAATATTAATTTCAACTGGATACCTACACGCGTTCCTAAGAAAAAGAGTCTTGACAAACGGACACACGGACAACGAAACGATCCTATAAGGATCATTTCGTTTTGTTTTGCAGGTAGCCAATTAATTTAAAAGAAATTAAGTATCTTTGTTACGAAATATTTTAGGAGCATACAACTATGTTATGAGATTCTAACTGCATCCAAATAACTGTTTTTACATCTTTATCATAAAATATCTTTGTTAAGTATTTATTTTGTTTGTATGTCTATGATAGTTAAACAAAAACAGCATTTTGTGAACGAATCATGAATCAAAATTACCGGTATCCAACTAACTTTATTACAGAGAGTTGAGTTTTTTATTATTAAAATACTTAGTTGCCAGTTGAAACAAAGTTAGCCATCCCATTTTACACGATTACAAAGATATAAAAGCTTTTACGCCGAGACTGCAAGTGGATTTATATCGTGTTTAAATTTTTGTTTCAATATCTATTGAATTTCGTATATTATGTTACCACTGTAGACCACAATAAAAGAATACTATTTAATAGAAATGCCCTTCCATAGTAAAAAAAGCCTATATATAGATAGATAGAAAATTTATTTGCATTACTTACACCACACAAATAACAATACAAACATACACATTAAAAGAGATAGAAGAATGAAAAACAAAAAAAGAAGCAATAAAAGAAAAAAATACAAAAAGCAAAATATATAAAACAACAATTTCCTTTTTTCATGCGTGTGCCATAGTTACACAAAATGGTCAAACTTAGTTTATTGTCTTTCCCCTTAAAAGAGCAAAACATCGATATTCTGTTACGGCCAAGAGTCAGTCGCGAAATTATGTGTACATGAGTGATGATGAATGTATACAACTTTTTGTGTTAATACAAAATATATTTCTAGTTTCAAGAATTATCCAATATTTGAATGAATGAATGAATGAGTATACTAGTTTTTAATTGCGACTTCATCCACGTAACTAAGATAAAAAGTAATCTTTGATCTTCCTTCTCCATTCTATATATATATATATATATATATATATATATATATATATATATATATATATATATATATATATATATATATATATATATATATATATATATATAAGTTGTGTGTATTTTTCAATGCTAAATCATAATAAAATAAAAATGGAAAAATTTAATAGCCTTTAACTGTCTACTGCTAAACATAAGACACCGCAGTCAGGCTTTAGAGATGTTTTAAGAGAGACGCTGCTGCCCATCCTTCGCCCTCCCTTAGTTGGCTCTTACGACACCCACGGAAAAGGAAGCGAAACCTATTCTATGCCGGGATCACATGGCCATATAATAAAAATCATCGAATGTCTATAATTTCCTATCAGCTATAAGAGTAGGTCAATACAATAAAATTTTCCAAGAATATCCTTAATACAGTTCAACGACATATTTTACAAAAAAATTCCTAGAAAAGAGTTCATATCAAATAATACATTATATAATAAACTATATAATATATACATTACACAAATTATCAAATTAATTTCGATTATCACACGGACGAAGTTGCAGACATAACTTATTTATTTATTTATTTATTTATGGAACACCAACAGCATATTGCATTATAACATATAGGTATAACAACATTAAATACAATACAATATTAATGCACATGCCTATTATAGGTATTCACAGCATTCACTTTAACGTAATTATACAGTGTAAGAAATTTAAGTAAATAACAAAAATAAACATGTAATCTAAGTTGTGAGCAAAATCAGAAAATAAGATTATGAGTAAATTAAATTAAAAAAAATATTAAAAAAAATATATATTATGACAATTAGAGTTAATGTTCATAAGATTGTTGTACAAAGTGCTTCAGCAATTTATTCCTGTAGGAATTCGAATTATCGTACACTATATCAATTTCAGGTAATTTGGCATTAATTTCATTGTATGACGCACTAATCCTGGCCAGAGGTTGATGCAGTCCTAGGTTTGTTCTGCAGCGCGGTAAGCTAAATATTCTAGTTATAGGGTGTCGAGGATAATTTAGAGGTACCGTTAATTGGAGTGAACTCAGTAAATCTGCACAATGAATTTTATTATTGAGAATTTTATGAATAAACATTAAATCTGCAATCATACGACGCGTCTTAAGAGAGGTAATGTTAAAGAAGGACATTCTCTGACTATAAGGTCGCCTATGCGATATGTTACGGGTTATGTAAGCTAGGTGTCTAGTGAATGCTCGTTGGATATTTTCTATTCTTTGAGATGAAGAGCTGTAGACTGGATTCCAGGAAACAGAGGCAAACTCCAAACGACTACGTACTAAACTGTTATAAAGAATTAATCTAGTTTGCCTCAATTTAAAGCCTTTTAAAGAACGTTTAAGGAAACCAAGCATTTGTGCTGCCCGTGTGACAATATTATTTATGTGTACATTAAATTTAAGTTTGCTATCAAGCAATACTCCTAGATCTCGAACTTCACTAACAACTACCAGTTTTTCACCGTTTAAAGAATAACGTGATTCTATAGGTTTAATTTTACGAGTAAAACGAATGTACGAACATTTATTTGTGTTAAGTAACATACCATTCAAAGTACACCATTCCCCAACACCATCTAAGTCTTTTTGCAGAAGTTCTGCATCATGTATGGATTTTATTGTGCGATAGATTTTTAAATCATCGGCGAAAAGAGATATTTTACTGTATTTTATATACGATGTAATATCATTAATAAATATCAAAAAGAGAACGGGACCCAGGTGCGATCCTTGCGGTACGCCTGATTCTGCATAGTACTGTTTAGACTGAAATCCATTAATAACTACTTCCTGAGGCCTTTGAAATAGGTATGACTTAAACCAACTGAGTAGAGAACCTTCTATTCCAAAAACAGCCAATTTGTTTAGCAACACAACATGATTTACTTTATCGAAAGCATTGCTAAAGTCTGTGTAGATTGTGTCAACTTGTTCACCATTATCTATTTCGCGAGCTATATCAAATACTGCTGAAACCAAATTAGTTTCTACGGACCTACCTTTATAAAAACCGTGTTGGAATTCTGTCAAATAATTTTTAATATGGGTGAATATGTGTGGATATAGAAGTGACTCGAATAATTTGGATAAACATGATAATATGGATATAGGCCTATAATTTTTAACATCCTTTTGATCATGATTTTTAAATATTGGCAAAATTCTTGTTTTTTTCCATTCAGTAGGGAATACACCATCTTGTAAAGACCGATTGAAAATTATTGTTAGTGGGAGTGTGATAGCAGTTCTACAGCGTTTAATAAAAAGTGGTGGGATATTGTCGGGGCCCGAACCTTTATCTATATTTAGACGTTTTATTGCCATAGAGACCTCAGACTCGTTAACTTTTATTTTAAATATATGATTATTTGTAATAGGAACATATTTAGAATTAGTGGGTTCATTTGAACTATAAACTGATGAAAATTGACTTGCAAATAAATTCGCAATATCAGGACCTGTAGTTGCTGTAATGTTGTTCATTTTCATTTTTGTGGGGAAGGTCGACTGACCTTTACGTTTATCTTCAATGTATCGCCAGAATAATTTTGAATTCTTGCAAATATTAGCTTCTATTTTATTATGATATTGTTTTTGACAAATATTTATAAACTTATGGCAGCGTTCTCTGAGTAGATCTAATTCAATTTTATCTCGAGGATTATGAAATTTATGATACCTGATTCGAAGTTTTTCTTTTTGATTTATGAGTTTTATTAAAGTATGGTTTAATAAGTAAACCATACAGGAAATTTAGAAAATTTAGATGAACGTTTAGGTACATTTTTATCAATAATCTCCCTAAGAATATTATAAAAAGCTGAAACCATTTGGTCAACATCTGTACAGTCATCTAAAATCTCTTGCCATTGAATGTTATCAAGCTCTGATATAATAGAGGTATAGTTTGCTTTATAGTAATTGTGATCAGTACGCACATTTGGATGCAGACTACTTGAGTTTTCACTATAATCAATAGGAAGAGTGACTAATAAATTTGGGTGTCTTTTATCTAGCTTACTTAGGAGTTCTAAAGGTTTAGAAACTTTTATGTTTTCTGTGTTGCACAAGATAAGATCAAGAATTTTGTTTTCATTATTAACAATATGATTAAACTGATACAGATTATTTAGTGTCATAAAATCAATCAGCGAAAAGCCTAGAGTTCTTTCAAAATTTTTAGGAGTTGTATATGTATTATTATCATTTAATGTCCATTTTATAAAATTTAGATTAAAGTCACCCAATATTATAACATTATCAGTACTATTCATTACCATATCTACATTATCTAAGAATAGTTGTTGTTTTACAAGATTGGCTGGTGGAGGCAAATATACCGCACAAAGCGAAACATTTACATTACGACCATTAACAGGAATTTCCACGTTGACCCATAAGTCTTCAATTTCACTTTCCCAAATTAGCATTCGATTTGATTTAAATTCACATGATACAGCAATTAATAAACCACCACCATCCAATTTATTGCCAGTACTCATTACACGATCTCTACGGTACACAATATAACGAGAATCAA